GTTCTATACAAACAAAAAAGGCTCTTGTTTCATACAGTAAAAGAACATCTTATTAAAAAATAAAATGTCATCTACATAAAGTACCAAGAAGATATATCTACTCCCACTTATTTTCATGTAGATGCATTGGTCAAATATATATTTGTAAAATAATGTAAATAAACTAATAGAAAAGTTCACTATTAAGGCAATAAAGAATGCATCAAAATAAACTATAAGGCAACATATAACTTTAATTAAAGCAAATTATTACAACGGGGTCAACATAATAGTACATTTCTCTTTGGGCAAAATACACATACCAAAGTCTCAATCATGGTCAGGACATCAGATGAGTTATTCAATGAGCACAACAAGTTATCATAATAAGGCAAACAAATTAGTGCACTCCCCTTTAGGTAGAATGCACAAACAAGGTTAGAACCTCAAATGAATCAATCAATGAGCATAATATTGGGTTTGAAAATCTATCCCTTTTTGATAGATAGATCTCTAGACCAAATTGAGCCTCCAAAAATTTCATCTATAAAAAAAATTGGCTTGAGAGATTTGTCCCATTTGGGCAAAAAAATCACATAAACTAATGTACCTCCAATAACTTCATCTCCAACAAGCTTTCAATCAAAACACACAATAACCTCCTTTTGGGCAGAAAATTTTATGAAACAAATAGAAGCATTACCAAATCACAAAGAAATTTCCATGAATTAATACACGCAATCCCACTTTGGTGGTAGTCACCCGTAATAATTCATATATATAAACTCCTACACCTCTTGCCTAAAATCATAACACAATCCACAAGGTGTAACACCCTTATTGATCAGGAATTCAAATACAATAGCATTCTAAAAAAAATGTTTTGCATTTAAACAGTTCAAACGGAAGCATACAACTAAATAAATAAAAATATTCTATAAATTATATATCTTCATTTCTTATAATTTGACATAGTCAATAACTCATCAATGACATGGTTGTTGTTAGTGGCAAAACAATTTATTGACATACACAATGCAACAAGATTAAATTTGACAATAACAAAATAATTTATATATCATAAACTCCTTTTGGGCAGGGTATATAATATGCAAATATTTTTCACCGCATGAAGATTTGAACAACAAGGAGAATCACATACAATTATAAAAATTCATCCTCGTTGGGCAGACAAACTTTTAAATTATATATATTTCTGCTTACCAAAAAAATTATATATATTTCTCCATAATACCATGTGCAATTTAAAAATAATTTATTCCTTTTGGGTAGATAAATAATTTTAAATCATGTATTCCTATCAATAATTTCTTCATACAATTTTTTAAATTATTATATATAACAATCCCCTTTGGGAAGGTAATTAACATATAATAATTCAAAATAATATATTAATAACATGAAGCACTTAGCAACATGTGTTTACATGTGTTTCCAACAACATGAAATACTTCACAATATGTGTTTCCATAAATCATTTGCATTTGTTAATCCAACAAATTTGCCATAAAAATTCAGCACTTAACATTAAAGTATAAGACAAAAATTACTAGCTATGCTTAAGTAGGAGAGCGACAACAACTTAAGTCAATTTGGGGAAAGTGAATATTGCTATCAAGTTCATGACTCAACATAATAATTTTCCAGTAATAATTTAGATTCTCAAAATTCATGAATATATATATTTTAGAGGAAAAAAATTTACAGAAGCCAGAAGCGTCAAAAGAGGAAGGAGCATGAGGCGTCATTTTTTTTTTCTTGAGAGAGAGAAAGGGTTGAAAGTGGCAAATGAAAAACAGGAAAGTGATTCTCTTTTTGTATCATGAAACGGAGAAGCAAAATAAAATTGTTTCTTTTTTTTTTCCAACACAAAAATTAAACTGATTCATCCCGGAAACAAAAAAAAAAATTAATTTTACCAAAAGCTGTTTATATCTCAAAAACATAAATTTAAAAAAAAAAAAAAAATTGATTCTCATATAGTTTTCATGCACATCCTACTTCTATAGATGATATGTATACGGTGCTCGTTTACAATTTAACATCTAAAAATTTATGTCCTCAGCTAGCCCTTGGGAAGGTTCCAAAGTTTGGAAAAAGTTCAATATTAGCATCTTTCAACCTCATCTTTAACTAGGATTTTCATATTCACATCCCACCTGCAACCTTACATTTCAGACAAAGCTAAAACTTCTTCAAAATTTTCACGTCATTAAAAAATGATCATTTCACTTCATGAGACAATGATAGTTTATGTAAATGACATGAATGACCTTTAAATGACTTACCTAAGAACCCCTCCTCTTTTTGTGTTTTTGAATGAACGAAACGTCTCTATTTATAAAGATTCGCATGAAGTTGGAACAAACATTGCGTTTCACACACTATCACTTTTTCTTTTTTCTTTTTTTCTTTGCAGTTTTGAAGCCATCCCCCGGCCTAAGGAAGTTTGCCACATATTCCTTTCTCTTTTTGTTTTGCATTAAAGCCACTATAATGGGCTAGACCCACATCATTTACAAAGAATATTTGTTCATGTGAACGAAGTTCACGCACAAAATCAACAAGGTATATATTTTCCTTTTTAAACTCAAACTTGATTATTGATCTACTTTTATCTAATGGTTCACATGGCTAAAAAATTATAATCATTAGATAAAAATGAGATCAACAGTCAAGATTAGATTAAAAAAGTAACTTATACTGCAAACAAAAAGTAAACCGATTTTACCAAAAGCTGTTTATATCCCAAAAAAATTTATCTGTGACAGACACATATTCACCAGGATCCGTGGAAAGATCCTGGAAAAAAAAATCTGTCTGCAGCAGATAAAAAAATTTTGCCCAAAGGCAGAAACACTTTTTCATTACTTGAGATATATTTATCTCCGGTCAGTCCAAAACTACGTTGTTTTGTTTATTTATTTCATTATATTAATTGATTCACCTATGAATGGTTATGATTATCATTTTCTCTCTCCTCCTTTATCACCATTGATCCATCTTTGTACGGTTATAATTTAGTAGCCGGAGATAAAATTATCTCAAGCAACTTGAAAAACGATAAGTCATATATATATATATATATATATATATATATATTAGCAAAACTCTTCAAAGGAAAGTATTACAACAAAAAAGAAGTACGATTACCAAATAGTGATAGCTCAATTGGTAGCAAGGAGCTGAGTAAGTAGAAAGGAAAGGGCATTGGTTCGATCCCTACATGTCACCTTTGGAAGGGATTTGAATATCTTCATCCCTGATCCGCCATGCACTCCAAATCAGTCTCATAGCCGACTCAAAGAGTCGAATCTGTTGACATACCGGGATGAGCCAACTTGCTTCAAAGAGATAATTAGGATTGAGTTAACTCCAACAACAACAAAAACAAGGACTACGATTGAAATTAGATCCAGGAGTTGAAATTTGAAGGAGATCCTTGGTTTTCGAAGAATTCATCTTTCACGCTTTCAGCATGTGATATTAATCGTGATTTCAGTAAGTGAATGAACTTATTTGTCCTATAACTAAACTCCGACTGAATAGTAATGTGAACTATACTTTTACACCTAACATTGTTCTAGAAAATTATAAACTTGTTAGGTACTAACATGCAAAAGGGTTCAATCGAGATGTAAAGTTGCAAAAAAACTGCTATACGCTGCGGAAATGGTACAAACTTCTCCTAGCCACAAAATTGTATGGAGATCATCAATATGGGAATTGCAGGTAACTCCAACGTTTAAGCTTTTGATGTGACGATTTTTCCTTGAAAGCTTGGCTGTTAAAAGCAATTTAATTCATAGACTTGAATGACTTAAATGGTGAATGTATAATTTGCAACATAGGTTTAGAATATGAAAATTACCTACTTATCCAATGATGGAATTTGTTTCCTCTAACGCGAAATTTCACTTTTCTTCCGCATCCTACTATTCTCCCTTGGTGGCTTGCTTACTGCATAGGAATAAGTTGGAATGAGTAGATGGATATGTACAGCTTCTATGAAAACCTTGGATTGATAGAAATGATCATCCATTCCATGTAAAAATATAGCCTCCCTCTAAAACAGTGACAAAAAGCTAGTGAAGAATGAAAAGATTTCTAAAATGCCACAAGGCTCCCCATTTAATCTTCTCCGGTTTAATTTTTTGTTGACCACCTTGTTTATAAAGAAATTTGCATCCTCCCGAATTAGTTACTAATAAGAGCATGTCATGTTATAAACATATTATAAGAAAGAAAGAGACAAAAACATATTATAATTTTTGTTGGGTCGACTAATTTTGTTTTATTTTTTTTGTTCTTTCATAATTTACATTGGGTTCGAATTTACCTCTTATAAGATGTGTTATTGGGTTGATAACGAGAGGATTCGAATTTACCTCTTAAAAGATGTGTTATTGGGTTGAAAGACTCCTTTACCTTGGATTAGACACCTATTGTGACGAACTGACCATCCTTAATTCCTTATGTCTTGCTTAACTTCAATGACAAAGGCATATCTTCTGGCTAAAAGTAACGGAGTTAAAAGAAATTCAAAGCTGTATATAATTTACCTTCCGAATTTTTTAAAAGATCATACATAAGACACATTCATTCTTTATTAAATGTGCAAAAATCTGGCTAATAGAAATCGTTGTTTGTGTATCACTGTAATAGAATGCCTCATTTTTAGCGTCAATCCAGGCAAGTCCATAAAGAAAATAATTATTGAACAAGATTTGGCAAAACAATATCCGCCAAAAAAGGAACTCGTCGAAATTTAATATATAATTTCAAAAGGATTTCCAATAATGTTTTAGTATAACGTCGTTTATTTATGAATATATCAAATACAATATTAAGATAACGGTCCGCTGTAATTTGCTAGTGTTATTGGATATCGATTCTCTTGATGTCATGCAAACACGTCACAAGATGCACCAAACTACGATCGGTAATAAATAACCAAACCATTAATTCATCGAGGAAGACTGATTCATATTTTTTCCAGTATGGGTTAAATGACAATTAGCAATAACAAAAATGCATTTCACAATTTTCCTCATACAAATTTAGGCAAGACAAGCACAAACATGAATACCTAAATTGACAAAACATATCGTACAGATTATGTGCTGGTTTAGATGTACTTTAGACCAGATATATATTGTTGCCTAGTAATTAGATACTGGGCCACGGAATATATAACTCCTAATATACCCAAGATCCTAATCTTGAGAACATCTGTACATGCAATAGGAAGCAGATTAAGAGGCAAGGTTATCCATGGGGGTGAGTCACTCTGCTTCGTATAGCCCCATACATACCTGTTGAAAAGTATATGACTTGGAAACGTTAGAATGAGAAGGGCCAAATTCTTCACAACAAAAATCCAGTCTGGCCCACCGATTTGAAGACCCCATCCAGTATTACCATGCCAAACATCTTCCCATATGCTGTAGAGGGCAGTTAAAACGAAGTAGGCTGAGATGACAACAGTCACAGGAAAATATCTGTGTTTGTCCCCAAAACCAGCAACAAAATCCGAATCCTGATTAAGCAGCAGCAGGATAGGAGCCAGGAAAAATATAGCACGGTTTGAACCACCAGTAAGGTTAATATTCAGGACTAAGCATATAGCAAAGCACATTATTGTAGCAACGTTGCCAACCGCAGGCATCCAGGCTCCATCAGCAGCCATCCTCTTTATTGTAAAGGAGGGAACAGTAGAAGCCCGACTTCGCTGCATGAATCTCACTCTTGGCAGGGAACTAGCGGATACAGTTTGACCAGAATGATTATGTCTAATTCCACCCGAATCAATAACCTTTTCCCGCAAAATTGAAGCAAGTTTATATTTTATCTCCAAGGCTATAAGCATAAAGATTGCCGCATACAAACCAAGAAGAGATGTCCTGGCACCCTCAATAGCTAACAATGTTGTAAGCTTCTTCTCTTCCTCACCCAAATTTCCTATCTCACTATCTTCAAGAATATTTTTAATTCTAAGTTGGCCCTCCAAAAGATAAGTAACTGGAAAGAGAGCCACGAGCAGAGCAAATACCCAGGGTAAAAGCTTTGTGCTTGAAGCAGAGGGCAGATGAGTGAAGACAACAAAAACAGAGGCGCAAACCATGGTGACAACAATGAGAACATGCAGAACGCCTGCCCAGAGAAAGTATTCAGCAGAAATGTAGATACCAAGGGCCACCCCCATAGCAACGGAGTAAAATGTCCTTAATTCAACAATGTATTTAATGGGTATGATAGATGTGATAGACGCCAGAGTCAGCAAAGTTGCAATAATAAGCAGCCAAGAAGGCCAGGTAGGCTTCCCAGCTATATAGCCATAAATTGAGATATCATCAGCAGAGTGACGGGCCGTCTTGATTAGGTCCGACTGGTAAGTCAACGACATGGGAAGAGGTGGCTGCATCAAAATAAAAAGTAGACCAGTTGCCACTACCAGCACTAGACATCTTTTGGCAGACTGCAGGGACAACAAAAAGCTTATGATCAATCTTTAATATCTTTGCATGAATGAGGAAGACATGATGGAATGCTCTGTCAACCATAAATAATTTCTGATTGGTTAGGAATCATGTGACTACCCAAAAGTTTGCAAAGGATATCAAATAGTCCCCACTCCCAAACTAAACAATGAAAAACACTGGATTGGATAGTTATACATACCAAAACATGAGAGAAATGAATAGCAACAATTGGAATACAAGCCATTCCCGTCAACAGAATACAGAAGCCCAAAATTAAACCATCTGAAGGAGACCTTCCGTTCCACCACTGGAGGGCTTCAAAAATTGTTTCACGGCAAAACCATACAGATAAGGCAACTACACAGGCATGCGCATAACCTTGCCATTGTTTCATCCTAGACAATGTTTTCGATCTATCCCTACAAAATCCAACAACAGTGAAGCATAATAAGGCTGACAACAAAATCTAGAGGCATAATATAGGTTAAGATCCACCGAACAGACAAAATCCAGAGATTGTCATAATAATTACCTGTAAAGAAGCAATGGAGGAGAAACAGCCAATAAGAGAACAGCTGAAACCCATACAACAGACTTTGATGCAATAAACAACATGGCAAGCTTCGAAGAATAGAGGCAAGTCAAAATCCAAACTGCTTTTCCTCCAATCCGATGATCCACAGATAGCCTTCTCACCAAAGCCAAACCCAATAAAGTTGTCATCACAACCATGTAGCTAGGATACATTACTTCATCCTCAAATCCATAATAGTAAATGCTGGAGTAACTGAAAAACCGGTTCTCAATATAGCATAAGAGCAATGCATGGCTTATCAGACCAATCTCAGATAAAATATTTAACTTTGAAGGTAGAAGAGCTAAACCAGGAATAGCCATAGCCAGGACAGCATTTGCTACTATGAGTTTACAAAAAGATTTAAGGGACATGCCTGCCAACCAAATATTTAAATCCCAGAAGTTGTGCAGCACAAACCATGTAACCATCAAGCTCCCAAGAACAACAAAGGCAAAGTATGATGCTATACTCCTCTTTTCAAAAAATCGAGCCAAATAAAAGCCAGCAACTGAAGGCAAAGGAAGGAACTGCAAATTAAAGGTAAATAATAACTCAATAATAGAGTAAGAGAACCTATAAGGATAAATGAAATAAATATTTAACCACCAAAATAAGCGATACTATCAGCATCACCCAAAGAAGCCTTCACACGAAGAATTGATCATTATAAGAAAAAAACCAAGCAGTTGTATCATGAAGCAAATTAAGTTTAGCACACCAAACAGTATTTTCCAGTTTCCACTTTTAATATGATGAACATGGTGGTTAATTGAGGATCACAGCAAGGAGCAGCCATCCTCAAAAATGCTAAAACAGTATAGCGGATCCTAGAGTGACCCTTGTGCTGCAGATAGCAGATACAATTAAAAAGTTTCAAAAATTTATAAAACATATAAAAATACATAATTCAGAAGCAGGGATTAGTGGTAGGATCATCTTGTTAGTTGTAAACTAAAAGGTTGCAGCACTTTCCTTTGCAACCTCAAAGGCTCAAACTATTTTCTCCATCAGAATGGGTGGGATACCAAGATTGGAGCAAAAGATAATAACCCTCTTCTTTTCCCTTGGTTTTTCTTTATGTGGGGAATGGCTCCCTGTTCCACTTTTGGGAGGATGTATAATCTTAGAATCCAATTATTGGGGTCTATTTTCCCGCCTTTACTTTATCACTATTCTACTCAGGAAAATTATTTTCCGTTAATAGGTTTGTTTCTTAGAATTTCCTTTTTTTTCCTGAAACCTTAACTAATGACCGAGAAGCTTCAGATTTAGTTTCCCTACTGGTCTCAGTACTTTCTCCCTTTCTCATAAGTAATAACCAGGATGCTTGTCCTTGGACTTTAAACCCTCTGGGAACTTTTACCAGTAAATCTTGTTTTCAGTTTCTGGTTTTTAATCATTCTCCTCAACAAGGTTGTCAAGATCGTAAATCCTACATTGGATTGGACAATGGAGGTAGTAATGTAAAACATGAGATTGTAACACGAGACAAAAGATCCTACCTATTACCTAAAATTATATTCAAGAATACATATGCACGTGCGTATGCACACACATAAAATAAAATAACACAAATCAGACATAATATTATAATAACAATAAAATCACAATCGTAACTGGCATTCAAATATAATATACTCTTCCTTAACACTTTTGCACTGCCAGAACCAGTAGGAGCACTAGCACTAACATGTGCACTAGAACCACTAGGAGCACTAGAACCAGCAGGAACACTATGAGAGTTTCCCAACACCAAACAAGCAGAATCAACACCCAAAACAAGAAAATGACAAAAACAACACCCAACCAGATTTCACACAGCTCAAACCAGTACATAGCAGAGAATAAGAGCCAAGAGGATCCAGCACAAACCAGAAACAGGGAAAGTCATAAACCCTCCACCAGAAACTGCTCAGTTCAAGTCAGACAAGGACAGTCGAGATTGCACAGCTGAGGTCGTGTAGCCTAGTCACAGCACACACGAGGTTGAACCACCAGAACATTAGGGTTCAAATGGCGAAGGTTCAAAGCAGGTTAATTTTGGTGGGTGAATGTAAAATGCCATCGTCTAACTGTGGGGGGCTGGGTAAACTTTTGGGCTAAATGGGGTTTATTTTGGCATCTGCCCAACTCAAGAACTCAGCAGAAGCTTGCAACTTGATGGAAATGCATGTTCAAGGTGATTTTACTTTTCCATGCTAACAGATGATACACGAGCTATCCCACCAAAACATGCGCATCGGTAAGAGGAACAGGATTGCAGAGGCCAGAGGAACATGTAGTGTCATACGATCCTACAATCTGCATCTCAGCTTTGATTACCATGCTTCACAAAGTTCAGCCTTAAATAGATCTGGAAGGCCAAAGTTCTGTCTAATGTTAAGGATTTTGTTTGTAAAAGGTGCTTAAGAGGATTAAGAATGATTTGCTTCAAAAATGCAGACCTGATAAGGCTACTCTGTTGTTGATGGACCCCACATAAGTATGGTGGTTAATATCATAACATGACCCTCTCTTGTTCGTAAATAAAATGTGGATCCAAATCCCAGAATGTTTGCATTATGTGATACAAGAGTTCTTAAAACAAATAGCCGCCTCTCTTTGTATGAGGTAGCTTAGAAAGTCTGCAATATATACTTGGAGAAGGAAGTTGGACTTGCCACATAATAACTTAAACCCCGCCCCCCCAAAAAAATAAACTTTTTCGGAGTAGAAAGGAAAGGTAAACAAGCGCATTGGCATTGTGCACTTGGCATGGTATTAGCTGCAATTGAAAGGAGAATAATTCCAGAATTTTTAGTAACAATTATCTTTGTCAAAAAAATTAATGGGACAGGCTTGTCTTCCTAGCTTCTTTTCTTTATGGGTTTCTGCTCATGGCCTTTATAAGGGTGAAGGACATGCAAAGTAACTACATTGCTCTTTTCTTTAACACGCTTTTTCCGTCATCTACTCTCATAGCCGCTTTTAGAATAGTCATGAATCATTTTGTCATATTTCCTTTCTTAAGGAATTCTCCTTCTATCCAAAAAAGAAAAAAACTACCATAATTCACAGATACAATCATCTATCAAATCAAAAATAACGCATTACTATTCAAACAGCACTACTATAGCTCATCTCAGAAAAATTAGGAACAGAAATCAGGGTGAACACATTTCCGGTTCAGGAAGAGTTAATCAAAATCCAAAATAATGATTAAAGAATCCATATTCAAGCAACAATTACAGTGAATCATCAGCGATCATAAACAACAATAAAATGTGTGTGGAAACAGCTTACCAGTATGGGAAACCCCACGACAACTGCTCCGGCGGCACTGACTACTATAGCCGAAGTAGTGAAAGCGACGGAGCTGAGGGCGTCGGAAACCATACCCATGGCGTAAGAACCAGCAGCAGCAGCCCCTCCAAGCATAGTTATAGTAACAAGAACATAATTCAGCGGCGGCGGCACCTGAACATACCTCCCAAAGGAATGAAAAACAACCCTGATTTCCAAGGCAATCACCACGAAAACCAAGGCAACCGCACCATTGACGACTCGAATGCTGTGAAGCTGGCTAGGGTTTTTAGTGACCCACCAGAGCGCGCCCCTCGTGGATGCGTAAAGCTGAAACAGGAAGGGGATGAAGAAGAGTAGAAGCAAGTCACAGAAGGAAGCAGCGGAAGAGAAAACAACCGAGTAATGTGACGCAATATGAAACAAGAGAGGAACGAAGAGCAAATTAAGTGTGTGTAGACAACTCTCAAGTGGACCCAAGATGAAGCTATCTTGGGGAGCCTCTCCTCCATGGTACCTAGCTTCTTGCTTGGCCTTGAAGGAGGACACACGAGGGATTGAATAGACCCAATAGAAGAAGCAATTGAAGGCCATCAGATAGTACGCGGCGTTGTTGATTCCAACGGCGGCGATGGCAGCCCAGGCGAAGAGTGAGGAGGCGGTGATCGGGAGGCATGCGAAGAGGAGGCGCTCGAGGGCGACGACGACGGAAGGGTTCTCCATGAGGAGCCATTTGAACTGGAGGGAGGACCATACGCCGACGAGGAAGTTGGTGTGGGCGCAGAAGAAGGCGGCGAGGACGGCGAGGGAGACGGAGGAGTTGAAGGCGGCGAAGAGGGAGGAGGAGGCGGTGAAGAAGAAGGCCAATTGAGCGAAGATGAGTGAGAACCAGACGCCGAAGAACGCAGCTGGCTTCAAGTTAAGGGAGTCGAGGATGTAAGAGATCATGAGGCCGACGACGAGGGTGGCGACGACGGTGGTACCGCCGAGGTCGAGGAGGAAGGCGGCGGAGGGGATGAGGGCGATGGCGATCCGGTAATTATAGGCGAAAGCGGAGGGGTTTTTGAGGGATCTGGAGGAGGGGAACTCGTTGGTGTTGCTGTTGCTGTTGCTGATGCCATGGTACTGGGAATCGGTAGTGTTGTTAGGGTTAGGTCTAGAGTGAGAGGAAGAGGAAGAGGGAGAGAAAGAAGGAGCACTGGTGGAGGAGGACAATGATATGTGGGGGCGGAATGAGCGGGGCTGGAGCTCCGGCGACAGCATTTTTGATTAAAGACCACTCTGATTCTTCAGTTGACTCAACTCACCATTCACCACTCAGCATTCAGCATTCAGCAATGTAAGAAGATGAAGCTCTTCCTGCTATGCTAATTGTTTAAGTTCAGGAATCAGAATCAGGACTGTTAAACTAAACTGAACTAAACTATTATTGGGCCTCATTCAGTGGGCTGAAGAGACAAAGCAAAGCCTTCTGGGCTTCGCCTATCAACCTTCACTTGAGGGCCGAAGACAGTTCCCTTGCTTAGGAGCTTGATTGGATTCATTGGGCCTAGTGAGCTGGAAGTAAGGGATTGAATTTCTAAGATAGTGGCCACAAGCCCACAACAATGTGGCTTCTTGTTAACTTGATGTCGACATATAAATGTAGAACAAAATAAAAAAATTAAAATGCGTTCTTTCTCTCTCTCTCTCAAAATGTGTGTTTTGTGTGGCACAACTGCTTCTTTGTTCTTGCATTCGACAACTGCCACTTCTGTTCGGAACATGTAGTTTGTGAACGGTGGGATTAATTCATCATGTAAAACTCATTACACATCTTGTAGAACTCAAATACAGCTACATGTGCTGTTTTCCTCAATAATCGATAGCATTTTTCCGCCTAAAATAACTACTAATACTAATACACTTAAGCTTAAGCACCACAAAGAGAATAAACATTTTTATATTAAACTTTCACACGATCTTATCATACAAAATTTTACTTTTATCTCTCTCTTTATAAATATTTATACATTTTAATAAAACTTCTACTATTTAATGTTTATTAAAATAAAATAAAATAAAAACACAGCTACCTATAAAACAGTTGTAAATATATCATTATCGCCGCCAATAATATCCAAGAATATTTTGTTGCCTGGTGGTAGTGTACAATTTGCCCAATTAAATGTTGTACGGGTGACTGTTTAATTTTGTAATGTTCATATTCTTAAATAAATGTCAAAACATATAATACCTTTTGAATTTAAAGAGCATTGACATTTTTATTTAAATAATTACAGTATAGACCGTATTTTGTCCAAATTCAAGTTGATAACTGATTAAAAAGTCATACTCTCCTAATAATTACAAACAACATAATAATTAAAATGGAACTAAACGATCTTGCATACACACTTTGCCATTACTCAAATAAAGCAACTTCTATTAGTATACATACACAGTTGTAAATGGAAGAATTGTATATGCAGCATTATTTTGACAGAGTTTCAACTCCATATAATGCTAAACTGCGCAAGGATAATACATTCATAAACCTGCATAAGTGTGTACCGCTGGCTCATAGATCTGAGTTTTTAGTTATAAAAAAAGGTTCACACAGGACCACCTGGACTTACCTAACACCCCACTAAGTTTGTGTGCATTTTTGTGAAGATTTATTGAGCAAAGTTCCACTACTCTACCTAAAGAAAAGCATCAAATATAATAAAACAGAAAAATCCAAATCAACGCCTAAATAACTGAACTGAAGTGCAACTGCCAAACTAAATGAAGTCATAACATTAATAGGAACCAGAGGCATATATATAATGTTAACTCGACAAAAAATGACGCTTAACTTTTGGAAGGTACTCCATCTCTTCACTACCAGATAAAGTTTGTTACTAATCAGTGTTATCTCTGCCGGGAGAGATTTCAGATACTGAAACTTGGGTTGAATACTTTTTAATTCTCAAAGAAATAAGTATACTAGATAGAATACCAACTATAGGAAAAAAGAACGACCAAATTTGAGATTTCTTAGAGCCAGAGGCTGTAGCAACAGCAGCACCAGCAAGGCTTCCGATAGATGTATTTTGCAAGATCATGGGGACACATCCAACAGCAGTAGGTAGAAGAAAATCCACAAAGAACCCAACTTCAGTAGCAGCTAAAGCATAGTTAATAACATAAGAGGGCATAGGTGAGAAGCGGGCGAGAAGAACAAATCTCCAACCATCTTGCTCAACTCCTCTCTTAAGGAGATGAAAATATTTGTTTCTTTGGGCCCATCCCATCGCAGAGCTTGAACTTCTGAATACCAACCTGAAAGACCCCAAAATGACATATATTCAATTCAGCCCAAACACGGAGAGATAAACAGACTAGGAATTGAATTTAGCACATGTAATAGACAACACATTATTAACACAAGGAGATACTTCTTACAAGACAGGTAAAACTAGAATAGTCTTTAACAAAACTGCGTCATTCACTTAACCTATAAATCACCATTTAATAGCGTTCAATTCACAGGCAGCTACTCTCAGCTAGCTGTCAGTGGTAAAGTCCAAGAAGCAATATCTAAAAATGGCAAAGGCTTTCTTGAACTTCTATAATGAAGCTATAAATGGTTTGTACTCAACACGTTCTAAGGACAACATGAATCAGACAATCTATACTTCTTCCCATTCGCATGGATATAGATTAGGTTCCACCAAAGGGTGCCTAAGGACACAAGTTTAGGAAAACTTAAACTCATGTACAGAATTGTTTTGGTACAATGCCCTCCAACTAGCTTCCAACAGTACAATATTTTAAGGAAAATTAAATGCAATTTTCAAAAATCAATATTCAACTCATTACAAAAATCAAGGTTGGATACTGAACAAACAACTTTTTAAATTTAAAAGTATGTATTTATGGAATCAATATCAATGGATGCAAAAGAAAAGCATTACTTATTTCAGAAAAGGGAAAAGTTTTATTGAAATGCAAAGTGAAAAATAATCAGAACAACCAAAGAGGGGAATATATCTTCTGTAAACAAAACAAACACAAAGTCAGCAGAACAGAACAGCACCCTCCAATACCTTAAAATAATTCTACAAGCGAGATGCCCTAGAAAAAGGAACAAAAAGCCAAATAGACAATGATCCTAAAAAGTAGTGAATATATGACATTGAATTTGAAGCAGTAAACTGATTAAAAAAAAAAAACCCTGAAATGAGCTATAATTTTAATTTGAATTAAAAAACTTGAAGAAGAAGAAAAAAAAGAGTGAAAATGAAGAAGGGGAAAACGAACCTGCCGATGAAGAAGGAAAGAGAAGCAGCGAGGATTTTGGCAGAGAAGACGCAGAGAACGGAAGGGAAGAAACCAAAGAGAAGAGAAGCGGCGGCTTCGAAGAAAATAGCAGATGGCAAACAGAGAGCGATGGAGAGAGTATGTAATGAAACGTATAAAGGGATCGCCCAAAACCCTAATTTTTCAGACCATTCTCTCAGAAACTTCAATGCTGTCTCCTTCTCCCAACCGATTCCATAACCATAACCATAACCTCTCCACAATGCCACTAACCCCACCAACACCCCAACTTTCCACCACCACCGCCCCATCATTTTTTCCACCCTTCTTCACCCCCCTTCTCTTTTAACTTCACCTTATTGGTTATAATCTATTATTTTAATTTCTTCCTATTCTTTGCTATTAAAATAACCCATCTATTTAACTATATTGTTTATGTTTTTATTTTATTTATTTTTTTGTGATTAGGTTTTTATTTTTAGCATGTATCCTAATTCCTAACACGATATTAATTTTTGTTTTGGATATCATCGTAACTGTCTATTCCCACAAAGGGAAACCTCGTCTCATTAGAGCTCCAACTTCCTTATCACCAAAACCATATTCTTTTGGATTTCATAATTGTGGATTTTATCATAAATTATGATTAGTTTGAATTAGCATGTTAATTTCTCACTTTTAAATAAATAAGTATTTATAATTAGCGTGTTATCAACTTATCAAAAACACACATATATATATATAAACATTTTTCATTAAATATATAAAAATTAAAAAAATTATTAAACATAAAAATTTTAGAAATGGTTCATAAAACTTGAGTAAATAGTAAATTCAAATGAGTTCAGTTTAAGAAAAAAAAAAAGGCGGGGGGAGTGTAATTCCTTTCAAAGGACACACACTTATATCCTTTTAAGAAAGATAAGGAAACAAAATATGGGGAGAGAGAGTGAAGGGAAAAGTTTCTAATCGAAAATTAAAAAAAAAAAACACTACATTCATCTAAAAGAGAACATCTTCCATACAATCATTGTTGTTAAAATCTTGATTTATCATTACGATTTTATGCTTTTACGATTTTTTTTCATCAAAACGATTTTACTAATATTCCAAACGTTTTTAGGTTTTTACGATTTTTTTTACATTACGATTTTACGTTTTACGATTTTTTAATTCCCTTTCGATTTTACTTAAGATCTCGATTTTAACAATATTTCATACAACTGTAGTAGGTAATTGTTCCATTAAACAACTGACATTTGGATAAAAAAATATTTCTCTCTCACATGTGTATAAATATAACAGTCATTCATGAATTTCTATTTGCCGGTAGTACCAAACAAATAGTACTACATTAGTATATTAGATATTTTCCATCTAAAAGGACCATCCTTTTAAACGATAGACATTTTTTCACAAAAAAATTGACTCTTTTTCTTATTGAATTAAGTTTGTTTTTTCAGACAAATTGGAGTAACTTTTTCTTGACTTAAAAGCTAAAAATAATAACATTTTTAAGTTAGAAGTTATTTAGTAATTATATAAAATTTTAATTTAAAAATTATTTAGAAGTTCAAACTAGAAATAAGTTAAAACAATAGGATAAGAAATAAAAAAAAAATTTCTTAAAAAATAATAAATACTCAGTTATCAATATATGCAAAAATAGAAATAGATTTGTTTACATAAATCAAGTTATATATTGAAATATCAATTTATAACAAATATGATTAAAATATTTTAATTTATTTATATAAACAAATAATTTTAGAAAAAAAATTAGTGTATTAATATTCTTAATACATTGATATTTCATTTGCCTCGATCGAGATCCTGAATTTAAAGGATCTAATTTTGTTATTCATATCACTTTCGTTTTTTATTTATTTTTTCCCCAATATTTTTTTGCCTTTATTTCTAACATTCATATCACAATAAAACACAGTACTTTACCGCTTCTACTTATCAAAGACTTCGTGATAAACTTAATTCCTAACTATCATTTCTACCTTACATTTTGTTATAATCATCCTTCTCCTCACGTATGTTTCATCACTACATGGTATTTGAAGACTGTTTATTCGATTCGAGACGGTTTCACTTAAATCACCTCCAATTGATACATAGAGACAGTACTTTCGGCAGTTTAATTGATTTGAGGCGATTGACGTGCAACCGCCTCCAAATGTATATTAGAGGCGGCTAAAATAATCGCCTCCATTTACAATTCAGAGGCGGTTACATTGAAACCGCCTCTAATTCCTCTCTTTAGAGGCGGTTAAACCATAACCACCTCCAAATATATATTAGACGCTGTTAAAATAATTGTCTCCATTGATCATTCAGAGGCAGTTGAGATATAATCGCCTATAAATGTAGCAATTAGAGGCGATTTCAATGTAACCGCCTCTGAATGGTAAAGGGAGGCGATTATTTTAGCTGCCTCTAATATACATTTGGAGGCGGTTGCACGTCAACCGCCTCAAAATATACATTACAGGTGGTTAAAATAACCGCCTCCAAAGCATATTTAGAAGCGGTTCATGATCTATCGGACAGTGAGATTCAAAGAGGAAAATCTCTTTGTTCAGCCGATGGATCGTCCTCAAATTTGGTTAGTGTGTTCTTCTCTTGTAATACTTTAATCTAACCGTTCAGATTTTTAAGTTGAATTATCTGGTGTTATATATAAATTTCTAAAGATGACTGTTGCACATTAAAAAAAACCATCTCACCTTCACTTTTAAGTCCCAAATTGGACGTCACTTGTTCCTCTTTCTCCATTCCCTTCTATATAACAACTCATACTAACACACACATATACAAAATTCAATAAGTCATTTATATTCAACTAATAACAATTATATTAATTTTTAAAAATAATTTTTTAAAAAAAATATATATTAACTAATCACTATCGGAAATTATATTAAAAAAAATTAAAAATAAAAATTATATTAACTTTTAAAAGTAACAATTTTAATAGTAAAAATTTAAAATTTAAAATTTATATAATTTTAACCATTTGGAGGCGGTTACACGTTATTTGGAGGCAGCTATATAACCGCCTAAGCTTGTCTTTTGGAGGCAGTAGTGGAGGTGGTTAAAATAACCGCCTCGGAATATGTTTTGAAGGCGGTTAGAATAACCGCCTCAGATTGTCATGTAGAGGCGGTTATTCCAGCGGTTTCTGAAAACTGTCGTATTTTGCCTCGCGACAGTGGTAAACGAGGCGGTTTATGAACCGCCGATCCAAGCATTTAGAGCAGCGTTTTAAAACTCGGACCGGTCATCGAACCGGTTGAGGTACTAGGTCACTGGATCACTGGTTCAACCAGTTTTACTGTTCACATATTAAAAATATAAAAATATTACTTATAATAATAAAAATTCACATAAGAAAACTATCTATGAGCTTCAAAAAATAAATTGGTTTTCAATGATAGCAAATACTATATACTTCTAAGCTTCTAGCTCTAGACCGTTGAGATGATATTATGAGACCATAAGTGTTTATCACCACTTAACTTCATGAGATCATTATAAGATGCAACTAAATTACATAAACGAACTACACTAATCTAAAATACCTTATTATTTTCACCTTACTTTTAATCATATTCATCATAAAATATGAATAGGATTTAATTCAAGAGTTCTTATCAACAAAAAAAAAAAAATTACCAAAAAAAAAGAAGGAAAAATCGGTTTAACCCGAGTCAACCGGGTCGCCGGGTCAACTGATCCAATCCGGGCTGACTGCATAACCGGTCTAACTACATGCACGGACTGGGGAACCCACCGGGTCACGGAGTCCCGGGTCGACCCGGCCGGTCCGAGCCGGGTTTTAAAACACTGATTTAGAGGTGTTTTGAACCGCCTCAAAATGCCAATATAATCGCCTCTGAAAACCAATTTTCGTATAGTGCATCCTCACCTGAACCTGTAATAATACTCTTGTGCTTGTAATATATCTCAAGTATCACTACAAAATGTAGTGTAGCCTTCCAGCAATTTACGATGTTTAAACATGTAACTTTTTTATTATTTTTTCTTTCTCTGACTCTATTCAAGAATCTAACTTTTTTTCATTATTAATAACCACAACTTGGAAAAGTGAGGCAATAAAAGGAAAAGCGAGGTGGAGTAATAGAAATGGTATTTGCTATATTCCACTTTCACTGTACAAAGGAACATCATATATGGACGTGAATATTATAAAAGTTTAAAATAGAAGACTTATCTACAATTCAAATTTGAAATAGAAACAATCATAATCCTATTATAATAGCTTCATAATTACAGCTTCATCAGATGACCCAGCACATAATCCTACAGTCTCATCGTATCCTTGTAACTGATGACTCAGCGACAATTGGCGACAACCTGTTTTGAATTTGATCTCATCTTCATCACTCCCCCTCAAGTTGGAGCATGTAAATTTGAAATGCCCAACTTGCTGAATAATGAAAGAAATGGTCCCTTGCCCAAAGCTTTAGTAAAAAACATCTGCCAACTGCATGTGGGATCGAACATATGAGGTGGAGATGGTTTGCGCTTGGAGATTTTAACGTACAAAATGGTAATCAAACTCGATATGTTTAGCGCGATCGTGGAATACAGGGTTGGCTGCTATTTGAAGAGCAGCATGGTTATCACAGTAAAGGGACATGGGGTTGTTATGAGTTACCCCTAAGGAAGCAAAGAAACTTTTTAACCAGACAAGCTTAGCGGTTATAGTTACTATTGACCTATATTCAGCTTCAACAGATAACCTTGAAAGTGTGACTTGCTTTTTTGGCTTCCATGAAATAGAAGAGACACCAAGCAATATAAATAAACCAGTGATGGATCTCCGGGTAATAGTGAAAATAGCCCAATCAGAGTCACAATAAGCGTTGACATGCAACGTAGAAGTGGACTTCATGAAGAGTCCCTGACGTATATTTTGTTTCACATAACGAAGTACGGTCATGACAGCATTGAAATGTTGTTGTTGTGGGTTCTGCATGAATTGTGACTGGTATAGATTGCATAGCTCAAGTTAGGCCTGGTGATGGTCAAATAAATTAATTTACCAATTGTTGTAAATAGTAATTATGTAGTCATTTATTTGTATTTATTTAGTCCGTTACTTGTATATTGGGCCAAGCCCATTAGGTCAAAATTAGGTCAAGAAGTCTCTATAAATAGATACCCCTATGTACAGATTCAAATACGATTCAATAATATTTCAAATACCCTTTTATTTCAAGTTGGTATCAGAGCTCTCGATCCTGAGGGCTCTGCTTCCGCGCCTATTGTCTTTAGAACAAGAAC